TGCGCGAAAAAAACCAAAACAACCTCAACACATTAACTACATGTACATTCTTTTACATGTTTACTTATTTTCTTTCTCAACATCTCTTCCTTATTATAGGCTATATTAACTTCTATATTTATATAGGCCACACGTATCGTGTATTCAAACTTTGTATTGCCAATGCATCCACTTATACACTTTTAGTAATATCGGCAGCCAGAGCTGTTAAAATGTACGGAGTCAAAAGTTTTGAATTTCTTTTTTCATTGAAGTTTCTTAATCTGTGGTGTTTGTTGCTGGTGCTAGAGAAATATTTTGTCGAAATTCAGATCCTAAATGTTGAAAAAAAAGTAGGAAAATTGCATAATGTAGACACGATTGTTAAAACAATGCAATGAAACAGTTAGGTTTCCTGTAAAATTTTACTTTCTGGGGATAGTAAACTTTAGCAGTTTGCCACACGCTGTTATTGCTTTGATCTATCTCCTAAATTCCATTGCTTTCCGCGTACGTTTATTTGAACGATCATGGGTGCAGAATGTACAGATGTGACTATTGTACTGTGTCTCGCTCTAGGAAGCGATATAGGTTTACGGTGTGTATGAAGAACCTGAAGTGCCCAGGTTGAGAGCAAGTCATCGCCGTTATTCAACATTGTAGTATGTCAACATATCCAAAGTTTCGTTGAAATTCAAATTTGAAAATGAAATGTAAAAAAACCCCAATAAAAAATACATAATGTAGTTACCTTTGATAAAAGACTGAAACCGTAACTGTTTTTTTTCTGGAATGTGTAGATCTTCATGAATAGCTTGCTTATGATATTCAGAGTAAAAGACTTTGAAGTCCCATCTACCGCTTTTGGATTAATGATCATATTTTCAAAGGGGCAAAAGTGTTAGTGCTTGGGTTTAATGGTACTATCAACACTGTTAGGTTATTAACAGGTGGAACTTCCGAATAAAGCGTCCGTCTCCGAAAGGACAGATCCAAATGGACTGAGAGCCTGTCAAATTCCCCAAACGACCAGAGTTCTAGAACACCCAGTCTGGGATTTTAACCACTGTCCGCTCCGTAGTCCAACAAGATAACAACTGAGTTACTAGAGCGCCCATAACTTGAAGGGACACAGAACATAAAAATGTACAGAACCCCATACAATACCATGGATCACCGTAACTGCCATCTTAATCCTTATTTTATTTTCTCCTTCTTTTTAGAAAATATTCTTCTCTACAGAATGTCTTGGTCATCATCATACATTGACAGACGAGCTATTTTATTATTATTATCATAGATCTAAACTGCGCTAATGATTAGCTATAATTCTCATGCAACAAATGCCCTGTTGTAGTCAATGAACTCACAGTTGTGAAGTTGTCGGTGCGCCAGTTGCACTAGAGAAATATCTGAACCAGACAAATATTGCGGGCATCTACGTCCTATTTGTGTCACTTGGTCTGCCTTCTCTTTGTTTTTGTTTTTGTTTTTATTAATTAACTTTGTTTTACTTTCCCCTTTCTTCTTTATACTCTGAGAACACATGACCAGCATTTGTGGGGTAGTTGTAATTATTATTAATTTTGCGGCTGAACGCAAAAGACAAAAGTTCGATTGCCAATTGTTAAAATCCACTGCATCGATAATTATTTTTGATTAACTTTCATTTTTCTTTCTGATACTCGATATCCCACTCTACCCGGGTTGGTCATGACAGAGGGAAGCGGGCGCCTCTTAGATTAAAATGTCGTTACTTGTGTCTACCGTCAATGGTAGCCTACAGATACTAGACCTACTAGTTATAAATTGTCGCCAACTCTTTGACCCACTGAGGAAGTAGCATTCTGGCGGTTTGACACCGCTTGAAAAACGGGCTGTGTATAGGCACTTTTAAAAAAAGAGGTATAATTACTAGATCTAGAATCTATGCTGCGTTAATCCAACGTATTTTTTTTCTGGTCTGTTTCCTTTATTCGAAATTAAACGAAAGGGAGGCAACATCATGCACACTATGAACTATGCAAAGTTGGGTTTCTTTTTTTTCAATCTTTGTTTTTTTTTTTTTTTTGGGGGGGGGTTAAGTGTTTTACGGCGCTCGCAACTGCATAAGAGACTTTTCGCCCTTGTCCGAGAAGGCTAAGTGTAGATCTTTTCTACCATAAGATCAGGGGTGAGGCTGAAAGACAGCCCAGCAGTAAGAAGGAGCCAAGCAGTATCAGTAGAGAGGCTGCAAAAAGAGTCAGGAGCCCCGAGTAGGGGGCAAAGGAGGTGAGAGGGTTGGGGTGGGTGGCAGAAAGTGGAGATGAAAGCAGACGAAAGAGCATTGTTAGAGAGCATGACAGAATTTGAAAAGAGAACAATTTTAGAGAAAAAAAATTGTCCTTCGCTTTCCGGATTCGAACACGTGACTTCCTGAATGAGAGGCCAACACCTTAACCCCAAGGCCACGAGAACGTCCTTATACCGGTTGGAAATATGCCGCAACATAAATTGTCTTTGTTCTGCTTCTGGTCGGACATGTGTCCGCTTCAAGGAGTTTAGAACTTTTAATCTCCTTGGTCCGCTATAAACTTAAAGAGTTAAAGAAAAACGTTTAAAAATTATTATCAAACACATTTCGTGAATAAACACACGACCAAATTTGTCACGACGTGGTGGAATCAGGCGCTCGTCAATTTTTTGGCATATGAGGTTATTGGTATCATCTTAAAGCTTGTTTATTTGTGTTACTTTTGATGAAAGAAATATCCATCTATCTTGACTAGGAGTCGAGATATTTGCGATTGAAGAAGGTGGGGTCGCCCTGTTTCAGTGGTAAAATTAGCAAGAAAATGGCCGCCAAAGTTTGACAATTTCAATAGCTTGAGAGTCCCTGAAAATGATAAAATTACGTATTGTGTACCTTTAATCAACGTTTTTTCGGTAAAACTCACATGGTACACGAATTGTGCTGAGACAAGAAAAAGAAAATTCCATAAAAATTCCCAAACTGGTGGAAAAGTGCCTGTTTCTTCAATTCCATTATTTTGACGAGCGCTTGGTTTCACCACGCTGCCTCACAAATGGACCTTGTATTTCTTTTAAAGTAAAAAGAAAAAGAAAAAGAAAGGGAAAGGGAAAGGGGGGAAAATCGAATCTGGATTGGGCTGGAGCAAAGAAAACATTGACCGTCCTGTTTCACCGACTTTCTACGACGACCTTTAATGTTGACACTTAACTTGTCTGTTCTTTTGACATTTTGACTGGGAATTCAAACGAACCCAAACACAAAAAATGTTTATCAAGTAAATCAGTTTGCAGCTTGAAGGCTCTTAATTTTATTGTTGATTTATGTACACACACATAGACACACATTCACACACATACTCACATACACATGCACATACACACACAAACACACACACACAC